AAATGGTGTGACATCTGGATGATCAAATTCTCGGCGAAAAAATCAAGCATCATGTATCGCAACTGTTCGATACCCGAGGGATCAATTACACTCGACGGTGAACACCTTTGTGTACAGCTGTCTACCCGCGACCTCGGAAGCAGGCACTTACACCTTCAGCTTTTCTGAACAAGTAGGATACCATCTGGTTAGGGCCAGAAAATCAATAGCTAAAATAGTACATAAGATCCACATAACCCCAGCCAGAGTAGAACTCTTCAAATTTCTAAATCGCCCCATTTTAGAATACTGCAGTATCAGTTGTGACAACATAAGGAAATCCGACAGTATATTTCTGGAAAGTATACAAAGGTCAGTTACCAAAGGTCTGCTAGGCAAAATATGCACTAAGAACTATCGGGAGCGCTGCCAACAATTCGAGATCGATCCACTCTGGCTACGAAGATTGAGACATAACCTGATGTTTTTGTACATGATTTGCCAAAACGCTCACTGCTATTTGCCCTCCCTAGAACTACATATATCGACAAGGAAGCTACGCAATAGGGAGTTTACCCTGAGTGTACCCAGGTGCAGGGTAAATCTGCGGTCCAACGTTTTCCTTATTATATATGCTGTCCTGTGGAATAAGCTCCCAGTTACAATTAGATCGTGTGAGAGCGTAACGGCCTTTCTTGTTATGCTCACTAACTAACTACGACGACTGATGCAGTTACACAGAGCAAGCTCTACTCGCTGCTTCTAACCAGTATTCAGTATTTGTATCAAGAAGGGCCAGACGAAATCTAATGAGTAAAAAACGTTTCATACTGTATAACACACCCCTAGTGCTGTTACTAGTCACTATTCCAACTAGTTCACAACTAGTTTCACATTGCGTCGAAACACACCTGTGTTAATACAAATCCTAGAAACAGCAAAAGCAATGAAAAGCACATAAAGGTTTACCTTTCAAGCATGAGCATGGCATATTCTGTAAAATGTGACCTGTGCCAAATATGGCCACAGTTTCTTACTCAATGAGAAACATACCTATTATTATTATTATTATTATTATTATTAATTGGTCGAACATGAGAAATGAAAAGAAGTTGGAATATCTTGAATCATCAGTGCAAGTTCAAGTGGGACCAGAACAATAGGAAAATCCTGCGAATGTTCCACCCTCGAAAACGTCGTTGGTTCAACAGGGAAACCGGTGTATTGATGTGCCAAAGGTGAACCAAATCAACACACGATCCATATAGTCAACCAAACAATGCCCAAGTGCCCTAAGCTAACAGTCCCCGCTGTGTCGGCCAAGTGAAGAATAAAGGAAACCAGTAGTGTCAGTAAAGGAAAGGAAACAGAGGAGAAGACAAGCTTATCGGATTGCGTAGGCAATAATAAGATGTAAGTTAAAATGATTTAAAGAAGCGTAGGCCGTACTGGACGAACAAAGTTTAAACTGCAAATCGAGGGCGTCAAGTCGATGCTCTTTAACCGTTGGTGCCATCACGACGTCTCTAGGCAGTGCGTTCCAATAAGCTATGACCCTACGCGATAGCCGAAAAGCTGCGCAAACCCGGTCAGACTGGGGTTTGCGCAAGTTTAATGCGTGGCCACGAAGGGTTGTCGCTCGAGTTGTGCGAAACAGTCCCGTCAAATCAGGACCAATCTGCCCAATCAGTATACGGTACGTTAGGCACAAGTCGCTCTGAAGCCGCCTATAATACATGGAAAACATATCCAGCTTACGTAGCCTCTCCGGGTACGTCAGCTTCTTTAATCCGTGCACCGTTTTCGTCCCGCATCGCAAGACTCGTTCAACTGCCAGCTTATCACGAACCATGCATGGAGGACAAGCCTGAACGCAGTATTCCAAGTGCAGTCTTATAAAAGCCGAAAATAGTCTAACGAACACTTCAGTGGTCATGATCCAGAATGACCTGCGGATCATCCCTAACATGTTGAAACCTTTGCGAGCAGCTGTCGTCCAGTGTTCACTGGACTTAAAGGCTGAGGACAGCAAATCTCCGAGGTCAGATTGGAGTTGAACTCGCGGTATTTCCTTGCCGCCAAGCAAATAACGCCTCGGCGGGTCATTCAGGCCAACGCGTAAAAACGAACATTTCGCCAAATTAACGGATAACTGCCATAAAAGGGACCAGTCCCAAAGTGTATGCAGAGCGCCCTGTAGGGTCAGTAGATTAATCGGATCATCTATCGTGAACCAGAGTTTCAAGTCATCCGCAAACATTAGGGATGCCACACCCAATTCATTGGGTAAGTCATTAACGTATAAAGTGACGAGAAGGGGCCAAGGACTGAACCTTGCGGAACGCCACTGAGAACACATTGGCGGAAGGACAGGCTTGAAGCCACCCGCAGACATTTCTCTTCCGAGAAGGAAAGCTGAAATCCATTGTAAGACTGGTCCAGAAATACCGTAGGACTTCAGCTTGTACAAAAGGCGCGAATGGTGAACGGTGTTAAAATCTTTGGAAAAGTCAATGAACAGCAGATCCACTGCCTTTCCGCAATCAACGGCTTCGGCCCAGTGTTCAGGAGCTGTTAACCAGTTAGTAAGGCAAGAATAGCCGTGCTGAGAAGGAGTAAACAACTCAAACGCTCTTAAGTGTCCTTCCAGACCGTCCCTCACGAGTTTTTCCAACAACTTGACCAGAACGCTTCTCAAACTGACCGGTCTATAGTTATCAGGGAGGTGCCTATCACCTTTTTTTAAAAATTGGGCAAACGATAGCCTCCTTCTAGTCAGTGGGTAGAGAGAAGCTGCGTAGAGACTTCATAAAAAGTTGTGTAATCGGACGGCAAAGTTCATCAGCCAACTCGTACAACAGTTTGGGATGAACACCTTTCCCACCGGCAGCTGTACTAGGATTTAATTCCCTCATAAGTCGGAGCACGTGAGTCTCCGTTATGGAAACCTCCTCTAAGTGAGAGCCCTCAGGAACTTTTGCTTGCAGGCTGATATGCAGCAGCTGCGACTCTCGAACGTAAACCCAAGCATACTGTCCTCCAAGCAAATAAGCTTTTCCCTGATCTGTGACAGCAAGAGTGCCGTCAGGGTCAAACAACACTGGGAGACACGAGTTCATGTTGCTTCGCCTTTTGACATACCCGAAGAAGCGGTTCGGGTTTGATGAGGCTATACGAGCAAGCTCTATTTCATGCTGTAGACAAACATCTCGTAGATGCTGACTGCAGGCATTTCGAGCCTCACGATATCACTTGAAGGTGCATGATGAAGGAGCAGATAAGTAAGTACGCCAACATCTGGCACGCCTGTTAAGTTGTATGTGTACAGGCGAATCACACAGGTGACTGCCCTAGTTTTATTCCTGCCACAGTAGTATATGGAGGAGAGAGCTCACGCAAGTATGATTTAAATCTGTCCCAGGCAGTTTGAATGTCGTCACTTTCCAAAATGACACAAGGCGACTTTGCGGCCTTGAATTTCATTGTCTGAAAGTCCGCGCGCCATATATTTGGAACTCGGCCGGGATGATGATTAGTCTGACTAATGGCGCACTAAAATAAGAGATATGCGTGGTCGCTAGCACAGAGGAGGGTTATATACAATATCCATGACAAAATCCATGGATTTAGCGAAGATCAAGTCATGAATCTAGTAGGCAGAAAAAGATCTGCGAGAAACATCCTATTAGCAGCGCCAACTTTCTTTAGGGTGTCATGAGTTGCGTAGAGTTGGCGAGACAAGAACTCCAAGATCCTTATCCAAGGTTGTACACAACGAAAAGTAAGATACAGCAACCCCAAGTAATGACATTTAAGTATAGGGCGGTCAGTTCTGTCAGAAGTTCTGACTGAGCTTGAGAGACATCACGGTGGCAACACGTTGCCAGTATTGCAATACTGAGTATCATCATCAATATATCGATGTTCGCTGTAACGTAGATTACGTTCAGTTCAGTTCAGATGGGACTGGAACGATAGGAGAATCCCGTGAGTGTTCCATCTTGAGTGGATCGTTGAGCCAGGAATTGATGAAGTGCTCAGTTATTGATGGATCTAAAACGGAAACACCCGTATCGCACCCTGGCCAACCAGTTTATGCCCACGTTTCCTGCCCTAGCAGTCCCTGCTGTGGCAGTCACGTAAAGTAAGCAAAAAATAGGAAGAGGAAACGAAGGTACAGAATAAGGAAGTGCATTTAAATAAGAAAATAATACCAAGGCGTGAAGAAAAGTAGAGAAAAGAAAATCGAAATACGAAGATGCGATTTAATCAGGAAAACGGAAAGGTTTCGTGTTGCGACCCAAGAGCGTGAAGTTGCCGCTCAAACCCCTTAACCGTAAATTCCCTGATAACACTTTCCGGAAGCATGTTCCAGCGGTCGATAACTCGGCGTGACAGCCGGATTTCCGCCCCAATCCGATCGGACCGCGGTTTGTCCAGCTTCAAGGAATGACCGCGTAGAACAAACAATCTAGCAGGACTAAATAGCCAAGATAAATCTGGACCAACCTTACCTGTTAAGATACGGTAGGTTAGGATTAGGTCTCCTCTAAGCCTTCGGTAGTGCATTGAATGCATTCCCAAACTAAGTAGACGCTCGGGGTACGTCCGTCCCCGTAGTCCCTCGACTAACCTAGCACCCACTCGTAAAACCCTCTCTAGGTCCATCTTGTCCCGGACGAGGCAGGGCGGACAAGCCTGGATGCAGTGTTCCAGATGAGGCCGAACGGAAGCCAAGAACAGCCTAGTAAAGATGCCGCCCGTCAAGACTCCGGAGGAACGTCGTATTAAAGTTATTGTTGTTGCGGGCCCGTCAAAAATCCCCGCAAAAAACGCGCCAGTAACTCCGGCATAATGGCTGTGGGAAACGGAGTCCAATTTCTCCCCACAACGCAGCAGTGTTCAGCCACTCCGAGGCGCGTCCCAACTGCGAACCTTTTGACAATGCTCATTTGCAATCTACCACCTCTGCGTGGGGACTGTTTTTCCTAACTTAATAACCCATAGCACTGACTGGGATCGCCCTTTGTTGGTCGTAAAAGAGCCTACAGAGGACCACTTGTCTTTTCTTTCTCTTCGCCTCAGTTGGGAGTCGGTCGGGTCGCGTGATTGCGTGCGAGTCGTTAACTGGCCAGCCCTCGCGTCTAAGTCATTAGCGCGCGTCTATCATACCCCCTCTCGTGTGCGTCCGTTTTCGAGGCCTCAGCGTCTATACGAACAAGTGCGGCTAAGATCGTTCCCACGCTCGTTCAATTTTCCGTCTCACCGGCTAAGCCAGCGTCATCAGGACAGCGCAATTCCGTTCGAGTGGTCAGCGTAACAAGCAATTATCGTAGGCGTGCCAGCGACCCTCTTATCAGGCAATTACGCAATTATCTCAAGAGGCGGCGTTCCCTCAATTATAACAGCGGCGACGACTAAGGCAATCTACGCAATCTATAACAGTGGCGACAGAGTTGACGAACCATGACTGACGAATATGCCGATTTAAAATTGATGCTGCAGCAACAGCTTAAATTGATGTCCGTGCTAACCGAAAAGCTTTCCAGTTCTTCCCTTCATGCAGGTCCGAGCGCCAATTCTCAGTCAGTGGACCAGGTGGTTAGCGGCATCAGCGAATTTCTGTACGACGCCAAGGCCGGGGTAACGTTCGAATCCTGGTACAAGCGGTACGAGGACCTGTTCACCGTTGACTTGGCTCGCCAGGACGACGCGTGGAAGGTCCGCCTGCTTCTGCGCAAACTTGGTACCCTCGAACACCAGCGTTACACCAATTTCATCTTGCCGAGGAACCCACGGGACGTTACCTTTGACGACACGGTCCGAACGTTGTCACAGATTTTTGGCGAGCAGTCCTCTCTGTTCAATGCTCGTTACCAATGTCTGCAGCTGGTCAAACGTGATGCCGACGACTTCATCACGTACGCGGGCATGGTCAACCGTGAATGCCAGCGTTTTCAACTTGGCTCGCTCACCGAGGACCAATTCAAATGCCTGATCTTCGTCTCTGGCCTCCAATCTCCACACGATGCCGATATCCGGACGCGCCTCCTGTCCAAGCTACAACAGGATGGATCAGTCACACTCCAGAACCTGGCCGAGGAGTGTCAAACGCTGCTCAACCTGAAGCACGATTCTGCCATGATCCAGAACGCCGCCGCACCTGGTATGGTCCAGGCAGTCACAGCACCGAGGGCGCAATCGTCCGCGCGCCCCACCCAATCCGACCGAGCGAAGTCCCCACCCTACGCATGCCGATTCTGTGGTGCCTGGCATTTCCACCGCGACTGCAAGTTCCGCCAGCATCGTTGTCAACGTTGTGGCAGGGTGGGGCACCGGGATGGTTACTGCCATCCTCCATCTCCCAAGGGGGCCAAAACTGGGCTGGCCCCCACCCGCGATCCAAAGAAGAGGTCCCGACCCAGACGCACACCCAAACCTGGTCCGGTTGGCAGCTCCCTGAGCCTGCTGGCCACGTTCCAAATCAACGCTGCGGATCGGAGAAAGTTCGTCGACGTCTTGATCAATGGTCAGTCGGTCCGATTGCAGTTGGACACTGCGTCGGACATCACAATCATCTCCGAGGATCTCTGGCGATCCCTTGGCAAGCCACCTTTCGAACCGACCTCCCAATCTGCCACCAGCGCCTGTGGTGGCCGCGTGCAGCTAACTGGGCAGCTGCACTGCTCCGTCTCCTTCCGGGGCGCCACGTTCAACGCGACCTGCTACATCACGAAGGCGAAGCTCAACGTACTTGGTCTCGACTGGCTCGAAACCCTTGGCTTGGCCGATCTTCCTCTTCAGGCCATCTGCAACGTGGTACATTCCCCGACAGTACCAAACGACCGAACCGACGACAAAGCCAGTCAATCCGCCCCCGTGTTCCAGGATTGTCAACAAGCCTCAAAGATGCCACCACACCAATCACCAGTTCCTTGGCATCCGCCAGCAAAACCGTGGTCTCGAGTGCACATCGATTACGCTGGTCCCATCGATGGCATTTCCTATCTGGTCATGGTCGACGCCTATTCCAAATGGCCGGAAGTGGTCGCCGTCAACCCACCAACCGCATCCGCCACTCTGGCTTGTCTCCAACGAATCTTCAGTCAACATGGACTTCCCGAGGTCTTGGTGTCCGACAATGGTACCCAGTTTACGTCTTCCGTCTTCGAGGACTTTTGCCGCCGACACTGCATCCAACACCTCCGCTCACCGCCTTACCATCCCCAATCCAGTGCTCAAGCGGAGCGATTTGTCGACACATTCAGGAGGGCGCTTTTGAAATCTCGCGGGGAGGGGACCGTAGATGAGTGTCTTCAGGCCTTCCTGCTCTCGTACCGGTCCACACCGAATCCAGCTACGCCAGGAGGCCAGTCACCAGCTGAAGCATTGATGGGCCGCAAGCTACGCACAACCAACGAAGCGCTCATTCCGACTGAGAAGCCACCTACACAATCTGGTGCCTACAGCAAGCCTAAAGAATTCGTCGTTGGAGCCCCAGTCTACGCTCGCGATTATCGAGCCGGTCATCCTCGCTGGATCAAAGCAACAGTGACGGCCAGGCGAGGTGACATGCTGCATAATGTCTCCGTTGGTAATGACATCTGGGTCCGCCATCGCAATCAACTTCGTCCGCGCCACGGAGAAACCTCCATGCCAGCCAGCTATCCCGTGCGCCTGCCGCTGCACATCCTGCTGGATACTTTCGGATTGGCCACACAACGACAGAGCACGGTCGAAGCCGCTCAGTCGCCGCCGCATCTCGAGAACCCACCTTGCCGACGAACAGAAAGAATCCGGAGGTCACCGAAATCCCTCCAGGTCAATCCTCGCCAGAAGCGGTACTCTTTCTCTTCAAAGGGAGGTGTTGCGGGCCCGTCAAAAATCCCCGCAAAAAACGCGCCAGTAACTCCGGCATAATGGCTGTGGGAAACGGAGTCCAATTTCTCCCCACAACGCAGCAGTGTTCAGCCACTCCGAGGCGCGTCCCAACTGCGAACCTTTTGACAATGCTCATTTGCAATCTACCACCTCTGCGTGGGGACTGTTTTTCCTAACTTAATAACCCATAGCACTGACTGGGATCGCCCTTTGTTGGTCGTAAAAGAGCCTACAGAGGACCACTTGTCTTTTCTTTCTCTTCGCCTCAGTTGGGAGTCGGTCGGGTCGCGTGATTGCGTGCGAGTCGTTAACTGGCCAGCCCTCGCGTCTAAGTCATTAGCGCGCGTCTATCATACCCCCTCTCGTGTGCGTCCGTTTTCGAGGCCTCAGCGTCTATACGAACAAGTGCGGCTAAGATCGTTCCCACGCTCGTTCAATTTTCCGTCTCACCGGCTAAGCCAGCGTCATCAGGACAGCGCAATTCCGTTCGAGTGGTCAGCGTAACAAGCAATTATCGTAGGCGTGCCAGCGACCCTCTTATCAGGCAATTACGCAATTATCTCAAGAGGCGGCGTTCCCTCAATTATAACAGCGGCGACGACTAAGGCAATCTACGCTACCCAATCCATAACAATGCGCGAATAAACGAGACACCTCAATACAGGTGTGAGCAATTGTTGTTAACTGCCAAAGAAGTAAAATAAGCGTCGCGGCACCAAACTAGGAAGGCGTGTACGCAAATTAATGATTCGAAAAATGGTCGGTAATTGTCTTATATGAAGCCTGCTTTGTGGATGAAAATCCTCGTTAGGGTCAGCTAGAAAGGTAGCGCAAAGGCAACATAAAATCAATAAAGGTTTTCGTTGCGGGCCCATCAAGTATACCTGCAATAACATGCCAGAAACCCCGGCATAATGGCTGTAGAATGCGAGGTCCTATTCCTCCCCACAACGCAGCAGCGTTCAGCCACTACGAGACGCGGCCCAACTGCGCACCGTTTGACAATGGTCCTTTGCAAGCTCCCACCCCGTCGTGGTAGCAACTATCCCTAACTTAATGACCCTTTGTATTGGCTGTGCTTCGGTCTTTGTTGGTCGTAAAAGAGCCTTCAGAGGACTACTTGCCTTTCTTCCTCTTCGCCTTAGTTGGGAGTCGGTTGGTCACGTGATTTTGTGTGCACTCTTAGCTGGGCCGCGTTCGCGTCTAAGTCACCAGCGCACGTCTACGGTGATCCCCTCACGTGTGCGAGCCTTCCGAGGGTTCAGCATATATCCAAGTACGTGCGGCTAGGATCGTACTCACGCTCGCTCAATTTCCGTCTCACCAGCGCGTACCCCAGACTAAGCTAACGCCATCAGATCAACGCGAATCCGTTCGATTGGCCAACGTTCCAATCCGTTATCCTAGGCATACTCCAATGGTGTCAGTGACAATCTTATCAGGTGTTACGGAATCATAATAGAGGCGTTTTCCACAAGTATAACGGTGGCGACAGAGTTTACGAACCATGACCGACGAATGCGCCGATTTAAAACTTACGCAGCTGCAGCAACTTTACTTAATGTCCGTCGTAACAGAAAAACTATAGTGCTCCCCTTCATGCAGGGCCAATTGTTAGTTCGCAGTCGGTGGTCAGGTGGTTAGCGGCATCAGCGAATTCCTGTACGACGCCAGGGTCGGGGTAACCTTCTAACCTTGGTATAAGCGGTACGAGGACCTGTTCACTGTTGACTGGCTTGCCAGGATGACGCGTGGGAGGTCTGGCTGCTTCTTCGGAAACTTGGTACGTTTGAGCATCAACTCTACACCAATTTCATCTTGCCGAGGTACCCACGAGATGTGTGCTTTGACGAGACAGTCCGAACGTTGTCCCAGGTTTTAGGCGAGCAGCGCTCTATGTTTAAAGCTCGTTATCAGTGTCTGCAGCTGGCCAAAGGTGATGCCGACGAGTTCACCACGTTCGCGGTCGTGGTGAACCGTGAAACCAACCGTTACAACTTGGCTCGCTCACCGACGACCAAATCAAATGCGTGAGCTTCGTCTCTGACCTCCAGTCTCCATACCCTGCTGATATCCGAATGCGCCTCCTGTCCATGCTACAACTGGATAGCTCAGTCGTATTCCAGAACCTGGCCGAGGAGTGTCAAAGGCTGCTCAACCTGAAGTGCGATTCTGCCATGGTTTAGAAAGCCGCCGCACCTGGTTTGGTCCAGGAAGTCACGGCACTGTGGACGCAATCGTCCGCGCGCCCCACCCAACCAGACCGAGCGAAGTCCCTGCCCTACGCATGCCGATGCCGAGGTGCCTGGCAGTTCCACCGGGACTGCAATTTCCGCCAACATCGTTGTCAACGTTGTGGTAGGGTGAGCCACCGGGATGGTTACTGCCATCCCACCTTACCCATGGGGACCGAAACTGGGCTGGCCCCCACCCGCGATCCAAAGAAGAGGTCCCGACCCAGGCGCACACCCAAACCTGGTCCGGTTGGCAACTCCCTGTGCCTGCTGGCCACGTTCCAAATCAACGCTGCGGATGGAAGAAAGCTCGTCGATGTCTTGATCAACAGTCACTCGGTCCGATTGCATCTGGAAGCTGCGTCGGACATCCCGATCTTCTGTGAGGCTCTTTGATGCTCCCTTGGCAAGCCACTCTTCGAACCGGCCTACCAATCTATTACCAGCGCCTTTGGTCGTCACGTGCAGCTAACTAGGCAGCTGCACTGCTCCGTCTACTTCCGGGGCGCCACGTTCAACGCAATCTGCTACCTCAAGAAGGAGAAGTTTAACCCGCTCGTTGTGACTGCCTCGAAACCCATGGCTTGGCCGATCTTCCTCTTCGAGCCCTCTGCAATGCGGTACATTCTCCGACGGTACCAACTGATCGAACCGCCGGCAGTATCAGGCAGTTTGCCCCGGTATTCCAGCATGGTCTTGGCTGCTGTATACGCACCCGCTTCGCGTTACAGCCTCTACCTGGTGCCCAACCGATATTCCGTCCCAAAAGGCCTGACCCATATGCAGCCTTTCCCTTGGTCGATGTCGGATTCCAACGTTTGGAAGACATAGGAGTCCTGGGGCCTGTGTCCTATTCCGCCTGGGCAGCGCCGGTGGTCGTGGTCAAGAAGTCAAATGGATCTCTCCGTATCTGTGCCGATTTCGCCACGGGTCTCAAGGCAGCACTGGAGCCAAACTGCTACCCTCTACCGACTCCAGCCGACCGCTTCACAATACTCAACGGTGGCACGTGTTCCGCAAAAGTCGACCTGGCAGACGCCTATCTGCAGATCGAGGTCGCTCCTGGGTCACATGCTCTCTTGACGAGCAACACTAATCGTGGACGTCTTCAGTACATCAGGCCCTGGCGTGGTGTCAAACCGCTCCAGCCGTTTTCCAACAGATTATGGACTCTATGGTCTCTGGTATTCCGGGTGCGAATGCGTACCTGGACGATCTACTCGTTGTTGGTCGCACTCCAGAAGAGCTTTGAGAGCGCCTGGACGCAGTCCTTCAATGGGTCCAGGAGTACGGTTTCCGCATAAAATATGAGAAATACCAAATCTCCCTTCCGTCGATCAAATATCTTGGTTTCGTTTTCCATGCCAATGGTCGTCAGCCTGATCCTGAGAACGTCAGCGCCGTCTAGCAGATGCCAGCTCCAGCGGATATGTCACGACTGCGGTCCTTCCTGGGTCTTATCAGCTACTACAGCGCCTTCCTGCCATTGCTACACGATGTTCGAGGCCTGCTCAATCGGTTGTTGCAGAAAAACGTTCTTGGCACTGGTCCCCCGCATGCGAGAAAGCTTTCGTTCGCCTGAAAGCCATGCTGCGTACTGATCTACTTTTGACCCATTACGACCCAACCTTGCCGATTTTGGTCGCTGCTGATGATTCTGCTTATGGGATCGGAGCAGTTCTCTCCCATCGACTCCCAAATGGTTCCGAAAAATCTGTCATGGACGTCTCCCGCACCCTGACGCCTGCGGAGAAGAACTATGTTCAGCTCGAGAAAGAAGCCGTTGCCATCGTCTTTGCCGTCACCAAGTTCCACAAGGCACTGTATGGCCGGCGGTTCACGCTACTGACCGATCACCAGTCCCTACTTTCAATCTTCGGTTCAAAGTAGGTCATTCCCGCATACTCGGCTAGCCCATTTCAGCGTAACACGGTCATCCTTCTTTGTTACGACTTCGAACTCCTCTACTGCCGTGCTCAGGATTTTGGTCAAGCCGGCGGCTCTCTCGTCTCATTTTCAAACATGCCGCAGTAGAAGACACAGTGGTTGCCGCTGTTACCGTCGAGGAGGACGTTCGTTATCCACACTCGAAAGCTATCCGAAGTCTCCCCATCACTGCCGCCGACATACGTCCTGCAACTGCTCAAGGCCCTGCCTTGCAGAAAGCCAGCATTTACGTGCAGTTGTGCTGGCCAAACACTACCTTTGCTGGTGAACCCAAACAGCTACATCAGCGCCGCAACTCCCCTTCCGTGGTCGATTCCTGCCTCATGAATGCAGATCGAGTTGTCGTTCCTTCATGCATCCGGCAAGCTGTACTCCGCCGGCTCCATTCTGCTCACCCCGGTATGGACACAATGAAAGCAATTGCCCTCAGTTGTGTACTGATGTAGCATTGACAACGACATTCAAGATTTGGTCCACCGCTGCTCAAGGTGTCAACAATCATCCAAGATGCCACCACACCAATCACCGGCACTTTGGCATCCGCCAGCAAAACCGTGGTCCTGAGTGAACAGTAACTACGCTGGTCTCATCGATGGCAATTCCTATCTGGTTACGCTCGACGCCTATTACAACTGGCCAGAAGTGATCGCCGGCAGCCCACCAACCGTGTCCGCCACTGTAGATTTTCTCCAACGAACCTTCAGTCAACCTGGCATTCCCGAGGTTTTGGTGTCCGCCACTGGTACCTAGTTTACATCTTCTAGCTTCAATGTCCTTTGTCGCCGCCACCGCGTCAAACACCTCCGCTCACCGTCTTACCAGCCCCAGTCCAATGGTCATGTGGAGCGATTTGTCGACACCTTGGAGAGGACGCTTTTAAATTCTCGCGGGGACGGGGCCGTGGATGAGTGCATTTAAGCCATCCTGCGCTCGTACCGATCCACACAGAATCCAACTACGCCAGGGTGCCAGCCACTCGCTGACGAATTGATGGGCCGCAGGCTACGCAGCCCCAACGGAGCTCTCATTCCGACTGTAAGGCCAACTAGCCACTCTGGTGCCTGCACCAAGCACAAAGAATTCGCCGGTGGCG